GGGGAGCCTGCTTCTCCCTATACCCGTCCCCCCCTGCTCATGATCTCTCTCTCTCTCTCTTTCTCTCTCTCAGATAAATAAATAAAATCTTAAAAAAAAAAAAAAAAGAAGAATCTAGGCCACAGAAAAACTCATGCGAACGCAATAGGATATTCACCAGAGCATTACCTGTATGACAGAAAAACTGGAACCAACTTAAGCGGCCACTAACAGAGGACTGATTTGTTACATAATACAGCCTTAAAATTAACATGGAACACCATGAAACTTTTTTTTAAAAAGTAGATCCCTAAGTAGAAAATGTCACTGGTAAATGCTGGGAAAAAAGCAAAAACTGTAGGATTACATATGTATTATGATCCCATTTTTTAAAAACAGAAAAAAAACACTTCTTGAAGGGCGCCTGGGTGACTCAGTCAGTTAAGCATCTGACTCTTGGTCTCAACTCAGGTCTTGATCTCAGGGTCGTGAGTTCAAGCCCCCATTGGGCTCCACACTGGGCATGGTGCCTAATTAATTAATTAATCCATCAAAAAAACAAAAACACTACACTTCTTGAAGGAAAAAGAAAAAGGAAGGGCATACAAACTGCTAATGGGGCTCACCATGGGAAAATGAGGGAAAGATAAATTGTTCTCTTTGCTGTTTTGCTTGTTTTTGTCTGTTTTTACACTTTGCTACTGTTTGAATTTTCACAGGAAGCATACACAAATGTAAAACAATAAAAGGGGGCACCTGGCTGGCTCAGTAGGTAGAGCATGCAACTCCTGATCTCAGGATTGTTAAATTCAAGCCCCACATTGGGGGGTAGAGATTACTTAAAAATAAAATCTTTAAATAATAATAATAAAATAAAAACAACAAGAGTGTGTGTCAGAGGCATTCCCTTCCAGCTCCTTCTGCTGGCTTACTGGACTCACATCCCAGCCTCTGCCTGGCCTCACATCCAGCCCACACCTCCTGCCCCGGCCCCACTTACAGATGCAGGCAGCGGCCAGCAGGCGCCCAGCAACATACGGGGCGAAGCAGCTCGGGAAGATTGGCTGCACCATGTAGTTGGCAAAGGTGATGGCAATGATGGCCTGGCTGGTGGGCTCGATGATGAGGAGTGAGGTCCAGAGTCGGATGAAGGCAAGGAATCCCCCGAAGGCCTCGAGGATGTAGGCATAGCTGGCCCCAGATTTCTTAATGGTGGTGCCCAATTCCGCATAACAAAGGGCCCCAAAAACGGAGAAGAGGCCCCCAACAGCCCAGATGACCAGGGAGAGGCCAAAGGAGGCACTGTACATGAGCACGCCCTTGGGGGAGACAAAGATGCCCGAGCCAATCATGTTCCCCACAATCAGGCACACGCCATTAAGCAGCGAGATCTCCTTCTTCAGCTTTACCTGCTCGGACCCTGGGCTGGCTTCATCGGCCGAGGGGGGAGCATCCCCCTCCTGCTGGGAGGCCACTTCATACTTAATGCTGTTAGCCATGGCGGAGAAGAAGATGGCCGTCACCAGCTTCTTGGCATTGCGTTCTAAGGAAGAAAGATGAAGATATAGATCAGGTGGTTGGTAATTACATAGAACTCTTGCCCATAGTGGTCAATATGGGCAATGTCCTGCCACACCCCCCACCCTCCGCCCCAGCTCAGAGAGCTCTCTCTGGCCTCCCACCTCCCATTAACCTCTTCTTCTCCAGCTGGCTCGTTAAAATAACCCCAACTGGAAATTTTTAAGGGAAGGCCCTCACTCCCTAGAGAGAAAGCAGCTGTTTCTCCTCATTAGGATGGTGCTGCCCACCAGATTGACAAAAGAGAAAACTAAATCCTGGTTCTATCTGAGTCTGCTGTGATAAAAGGCAAGTTGGCAGTTCCCAGGTATAACCCTCATGATTTGAGTCCGCGTTTTTCAGCCTCACCCCCAGTCTGTCTTCCCTCTAATTTCTGTCTCACCTGTTACCTGCGCTGAGCTGCAACGTGAGGAACCAACCTTGCAAGCAGCCTATCTGTGGGTTCTCCTCACAAACTTCTCTCCCCCCTCTACAAAGGACACGGGCTCTGGCAAACCTAAAGGCTTTGGGGACCTCTTGCTGGAAACCTACAACCCTCCCCCTGCTCAGGGAGCCGCTCTTAACCACCCTTACGTGAAGTCGGCAGCCCTAGCAAAGCCCAAGCAGCCCCACCCCGCCCTGGAAGAAAGAAGACAGGTGATTCTCCTCTTTTCCTTGCTTTTCCTTCCCAGACCTCTTTCCCAGCCCCTAGTATTCCAGGCTTCCTGCTGTAACTTCCTCACATCAGCAAAGCTGCATCACCCAAAAAAGTATGAATGAGAGAAGGGTGATCCACAGGGACAGCCCAACCTCAAGGTGATTGGAGGCAGCTGATGGCTCCCCACCCAGGAGTTGCAGCCGGAGAGTCAGCACCCAAAGACGCAAAGCCGAGGCTGGGAAGTCGCGGAAGCGTCCGCAGGTGCCCGCCCGGCAGAGCAGGGGACTGCCGGGAGCAAGAGAGGGAGGCTGGCCCAGCAAGGGGAGAGGTCTAGAGCCAGAGGCACTGGGGAGAGGAAGTGATTGGCCAGCCTCCCCCCGCCCCCAGCAGCACAGCGGGTGGGCAAGGTGAGCGGGGCTGGGGGGCGGCGCGCGGGGGCGAAGCACACTCACTCCCTGGCCCCGGGTTCCAGCAGGTTCCCGCAGTGGCAGTCACAGAGACGCAGCCTCTAGGAACTGTGGCCTGACCGCTCCTCCTTTCCAGCCAGCGGTAAAAGGAAAGGCCAGGCAAATGCTTCTGGATTTAAATCAAATCGAGAAGTCAAGATGGGTGGAGGGGATGAGGGAGGGGGAGAGGAGTGTTAAGCAACTGTCTGGGTCCAAGGTTCACGGGCCCTTCACATCTGCAAAAGGCACAGCTAGGAGCTCTAGGCTCAGCACTTTCCGTGATAAGGCACTCTCTCAGGAATCTCCTTTGTCAGCGCTGCTCTGGGACTGAGGGCCCAGAAGAAACGATGGTGGCTGGGCGCAATTTCTGCAGCCCCAGGGAGGCTGGCCCTGAGGCAATTAGCTGAGGACGGGGCGGGCGGCTGAGAAGGAATGCACCATCCCCCCCGTC